CGAGTGTGACTCGACATCAGTTTTATTCACAGGTATGAGTGAAGTGATTTTCAAATTGCCGGTTTGAATATGTGTTATATTTTGCAATATTTTTACCTGGATGAGTAATAGGTCGCATATATGACCCTTGATGCTGTTTTCAATATAATTAGTAAAAAAAAAATTGTTCAAATTGGTTCCTATCGACTGAATGTCTTTTGAAGTGCATTTCAAATAAAATTCTTAAAATAATAGGGAGTTGTTGAAAAAATAATTTAAAAAAATTTAGAGTTCGAAGGGTTAACGTGTGTAACACACTGTTGCATACAATGAACTGTTTGTAACTCTACTGTATACTAAAATGTTATATACCCGTAAATAAATAAATAAATAAAAAATGAATCAGCACTGATTGTGAGAAAAATTTGTCGTTTGTTTGATCAATTTTTGTGGAGATGATTCACGAGAAAATTGCATGTTTTTGCTGCGTATAAAAAGAATAAGTGTGTACGTATGACTGGAAGAAGGTTCCGAGCAGTACTAAACAGTCATAACCGATGGATCCGGCAGGATTGGAGAGTTAAATTCAATTCTCTCTTCCTTCTCCTCCACGGTCCCTCGTTACTTAATATTCTCATCAATCTCATCGAATTACGCTAAATCTTATTTTCCACTCTCGCTTCCGTCTCGTCAGCAATCTCGAAATCTCATTATCGAATTTTTAATTTCGCTAAAACTTAGAACATCCCGGGAGACGGTCGACTGACTGGATGTTTACAGGGACCGTTGTACAAGGATTTACAACGAGAAGATATCCATCGGAATTGTTTAAAAATTCCTCGATAGAGAGGGAGAGTGAGAGAGAGAGAGAGAGGGGGGTCTGTGTGATTTAAAGATGGAAACTGTGGAACAAATTGAAACTGTTCCTGCGCAGTCTTGGATTTTCAGCCGGTTTTCGCTATTTTCACTTCGAGACGATCTCTCCTTCTATCCGTCTTTTCCTGTTCTTCCTTCCAGTTCCTCGAACAGCATCCTCCAACGACGAGTTTCTCGTCGACGATCGTTAAACTCGTCTGAATCTCCCCGAAAAGTTGAGACGCGCAAGTCGACATGCACGGCGTGCACAAGCATTATTCGATCTCACCGTGCAAACTTTCGCTAACTGATAAGTGTGCAAGCGACAAGTTCGCCCGTAGTTATGCCGTGGACGCGCAGTTAATATGATAGTAAGCAATCACGGGTGATACTTCAAGGTAGCCCGATGAAACGCATTTTCACTGTTACGGTAGGTTAGATTAGATACCGCAGAGAAAGAATTGGAAAAATACAGAGAAGGAATTAGAAAACTCGTAGAAAAAAAGAAGAAAGAGGCGACATTCGCTGTAGTGATTAAAGGGATTAGCTAGTAATACTGAGGTTGATTCAAATCTTAGCGCCAAAGTCCGTTTTATCGCGAACCTGCAAATTCGTAATAAAAAGGATTTTGGCGCCAAGCGAACTTTTCACTTTTGTTCGCTTTTATCGCGAACCTTCCTCCCGTCCTGCGCTGTCAAGGTGTTCTATGATCAGTTTACATGGGGAAACGTCATGGGAAATGGGGAAAGATTTGCTCCTCGGGTCAACTGAGCTTTCAGAGATTGATTTGGTTTCTGGAGAAACAAGCTTAGAGATCGACTTGGTTTCTGGAGAACCAAACTTAGAGATCGACTTGTTTTATTTAAGGTAAATTGAGCGTCGAGACAAGTGGAGGCATGGAAGGTATGAATACAAGTTGCGTTTATATCGATTTTTACCTGCACTCTGTTATCTATGTGTGATTCTACCTAGTGGTAAATATCTGTGTAACATTCTACTGTCTTATTTATGAGTGTCACTTTCTGCAGTCCTGCAGGTATCCTTACCTAGTTAATCTTACTTTGAGTGGTCAGTTAACGAGCTCAGCTCTTCGACGAGTGCAGTATATTTCGATATTTTATTGCATTAGTTGAAGTGTTATTACTTTCTCTAAGATGTGTATATCTGGTTTCCATAATCCAGCTATCCACTGTCCCTGTTGCAACTGTATTAACCCCTTCACCTATGATTTTTTTCTGACTATGCATCTAAGCGTCAGTCATTTAGTGTTTTAGTACTGTATCAAGTAACAAAAGTTAGTCTGTTACAGATTAATTACATTTAGTAATTCTCCGTGTTATAAATTCAAATAAAAGTTAGGACTACAATTAACTTTTTTTATTAATATTACTACTTTTGTCATATCTTGAGTAAAATCCCTGCCACGAGTGTGACGTTATAGGTTAAGGGGTTAAACTACACGATCTCAGTATTCCTTTTTCAACTAATTTCGAATGTGCATCATGTGTATCTCTCGGATCCAATAGTCTTAATATGTAGTTACGTAAATCTGAATGTTCCAACGTCGAATTTTATTGGCCCATCTCTTTAAATATTGATTACATTCCTTGCAACAGGAAAGAAATGGTTTTAACAGCGTAAAATTAACGTAAAATTATTTTTATCGCATCTAGTAATCATTCAAACAGACTCCACGTGTTACGTTTTTAAACATATATCTTTCGAAGATAAAAGCGCCGAGATACATATTTTTTGACGCGTTTTCATGTTTGTACAAGTGACATACGTCAATAAAGCCATTCCAGGGGAACACGATTGGTTCGCGTTCTAACGGTGAGAGCGACATGGATTCCACCTACATTTCAAGTCGACATTTTCGATAGTCTACATTTCAGTACAGTATGAATTCCCTTACTCTGTAATTGACGATCTAGTTTTTCTGTCGTAACCGATTTTGTTGCGTTATCATTTTTATCATTATACAAGGATAATATTCTTAATAAGTACAGAGTAATTAAAACGCGCAGCAGACCTGCAGTTAAACGGAATATCCTATTTTTTTTCGAATTCTGAGTATAAAATTGCTAAGGTATACTTAACTTAAAATCGACTTGGACAATCTTATTGTTTTCACTACGAAACATGTATGAAAAGTGCTGTAATCTGAATCGTTTAATCTCTTGCATGACTTATCACTTTAGACAATTGCAGCACATGCTGCAATAATCTGTTACATCATATCTTACCACATAGCTGATATTTCTTCATAAAAAATGTTTTTTTACGAAAGGAAGTTACCTTATCTTGCAACGATGCAACTTTCGTAAATAATATTCCACTTATCGCTTGAAATAATGGAGATATTTAGTAAATTTTATATTTAATAGTAAATAGATTTTTTCTCAATATTTTCTTCCCGTGTAACGTAACGAAATATTTCTGACAACGCAATGAATTATCGACAGGCAGATGTGAAACTTGACACAGTAACGTTCTCATTTTTTCCATCAAATATTTCCTTCAATTTAATGAAACTAGTTTAGGTAAATAAACTCGTCGACGCGATTTACCGTTTTTATTAACGCGAATTCGACGATTTTCAGTGCTGCGGCAGCTTTTATTCGGGGTATCGACGCGGAGGTCAGAGCTGCACGAAGATAATAAACGTTCATTAACGCGGAAGAGATAGAACGCGGGAAATGTGGGTAAACACTGGGCAGATCTCGCGATATGTAAAGCAACCTATTATGTGCCTATCAAGCGACCACGATAGGTTTTATTCGGTTGTATAAATGTCGCTTTTATCAGAGACAACAAAATGCTTCTGCCGCACGCAGTGTTCCTGCAATCTGGCGGGACAATATTGAACGTAACGAATAGAGCCAGATTAATTAAGAGCTAATGAAAGATCCTTCGATCGAGACATATTTTTACCAGGATTTACGTTCGTCAATCGAACGTACCCTTCACACCTACACCTTATTACGTACGAGACGATTTTTCTGCTTGATGTGAAAATTTTATGTAAGCACCACTCGAAAACAAAGAATTAAAGTCAGGATAGTGTGGTATCCCAAAAATAATTTATTCTGTATTCCTAAGCGATTCTTAAGGTTTCCGGCGTCCGTCTCGCTCGACGGCTATTTCCAGAATGTCCTTCCCGCGTTGTATTCCACGTTGCTCCGAAAAACCTCCGTCGTATCCCGTTGGAGCCCCCTCGTTCGACTTTCCGGGGAAAGGGCTTAGTTTATGGCACCTTCAGGTACCCACGCGCTTTCTCTTCCTGGGTGACAAAGTCCAGGCCACCACTTCGCCGCCGGAATCTCGCATTTCTTACATTTATGTCGAAAGCTTTGATTAATTGCGAAGAAACAACACGTAATGTTTACAAGTTGTTTATTACAATAAATAACTCCAGTGGAATGGTAAACTATCGTGGCGGTCCTAAGCGTGGGATTGTAGTTGGACGACGGCACTAGACTGACTAGCTGGTTTCCTGTGGCGGCCCATGCAGCGCGCACGGCGCCACATTGTAAACACCATCGAGAATGCGAGACGCATGCAACGAACGTGTCTTTCGTCGCTCTGTCGATGTCGTGGCGGGCCGATAAGGATGGCTGTCCTCGGAAAGCGGGGAGACACTTGAGATCCGTTCCGAGGGCAGCCAGGGTCCCGACCGACGACGCCAAGGGATTCAACCGCCGAAAGTCGCACGAGCGACATCAGACGTCTCGTCTGGGTTTCCTAAAACCCACAAAAGCCACAAGTCCTTAGGCCAGCAAGGGGTGCTATAAACCCAGGTCAAGAGACTTACGCACCGAGAGAGTACGCGCATGTTAACGGTGGATTCCAACATTTTAATTAGCCTAATGAGACGCGAGGAAAATGTTCGAATTAAATATGTCGAATAAAATGTTCGTTTTAAATCACCAATTGTTATATTCTACCTGTAGCTTCCCGTGGACCGCAATTCTTTCGAAGAATTTCGCGAGGTCGTAAATCCCGCTTACACTCTAGGTGACGGTACAGGTTTGCTGTCCAACTGAGAAATTGGTCTCTGTCGGTGGTTCCAATTAAGACGAGAGAATTTAGAGAATTTTATTGTCTCGACTGAATTTACAACTGTTGATGAGAAATATGGTATGATCGAACGATGCGAAGTTTGTGTTGTACTGTGTTTGGCTGGGTTGGGTGCCACTGCGAGAGCGAGTCAGAGAATGAACCGTGGAGTCGTCGCCCTGACGGAAAAGAGCACCGGTTATGGAGAGGAGAGGTTTTGTCGATGCGTTCGCTCGAGGAGGTTTATTGCGGGCCGATGTGAGTTTGGTACCCCGGTCTGGCGGTCGAATTTGACTAATGAATTTTAGGATGATAATCTGCCAGGCCGGGGTTTCCTCACATGCATGCCGACGCAACACTACCGATTTAATGTGCACTACGTTCAATTATCATCCAATATTCATTGAGCATCTCAGAAGAATGAACTCTCGACTGATAGGAAATTTTATCTAATCATAGAAGATACTAATAGCACAATTATTGATAAAAGAGGGAACGTATAGTCGGTGGAATCGATACAGCGAGGTCGTGAAATCGATCGGGCATCAGAGTACACGCAATCCTAGCGCTGAAATAGTAATTCGAGGACGATAAGGACCTCGAGCCTTGTTTAACGAAGTTCGATATCAACTCAGAATTGGTTCTTGCGTTTCGGTATATTTAAAAATGACGTATAACTCTGGGTGTGCCCGTACTTCACGACTTCCCTATATCGCTTCCACAGACTGTACAATTTAATTTAGTAACCATACACACGGAAGAGTAGAGAATTCTCTCTAAAATGTAAAATAATTTGAAAAAAAGAAAGGAACGACAAATTTCGAAGTGTAATACAGCCTTCGTGCAAATAAAGGAAGACAATATTTAACTGACATAGATACGTGAATCCATTTCCACGAGTATACAGGCAGCTTCCTTTGTTTGTGAAAACCAGTTCTATACAATCCGCGGCAATACGGTGTACCCGTTTGCAACCGCAAATATACAGTGTGTTTATGGAACAATCCCGCACGCCGAAGAGTTTTTTCAAATCTACATGATTCTACTTTATGGAAAGCTGAAACTTCTCTGTTACACTGGGAAACAACCGCGTAGCATATTCATTTTATGGAAACACGCTCTTTCTCTCTCTCTCTCTCTTTTATACTCACTCTTTACCCGAAGCAAACATTTTTCCAGTTATCTTGGTGAACTAAAAAAAATGTCTCTATTATCAACAATTCGCGGTTTCTTTCCTATCTCTCGCAGTGTCAGAGACGCGAACTCTCCAGCGGGCGTTCCCCAAGGCTAGTTTCCAACACCTGGGAAAGTATTCCCATGCAAAGTCTCGCCGCGTTCCACCCGTCGCGTTTCCTGTTCCGGCCGCGAAGACACGCGGAGGAGAGGAGCGTGGTTCGCGAGCAGAAACCACGAGACGAGGAGAAAATTTAACGGGCTTAAAATTCAGGTTAGAGCGTAAGTGAATTTGCCGGGAGACGGGCGGCTGCCAGTCCAGGGCGAAATATATGGAAATGACAAAGTTTTTCTGCGCGCCGCGGAGTGCCTCTATTTGAAAGGCAGATCTCCGTACTCTTGCATGTAGGCGAAAGAATAATTTCCCGCCACCGCCGCCGCCGCCTCGTCCTATGCCGGCACCAGCTTTATTTCGCCGAATATACACGTATCCACTTCTCCAAACAGCCTTTTACCCGCGTTGTTGCGCTCGTTTCCATCCTGTATCACTCGGAAAACAACTCGTCTCCGTTTATCCGCGACAAATTTTCCGATAGCGTTTTCATGCGACGACGGTAACTAGGCGTATGCGATCCTGGATTGCTGTTTCAAGACCGTATGAAACTTCGGTGAATGGGTTTTTTCAGAGAGTTGAGGTAATGAAATTTTTTCGAGATTCGTAGATCGTCGAAGAGTGAAATTTTTAAGATTAGCGATTCTCGAAGAGTGAAATTTTTGAGATTAGTGATCGAAAAGATGAAACTTTCTGTATTTCACAGAATAATCTGAAAAGTGACAGTTTTAAGGGATTACTGATCGTACAGATGAAAAATCGCATTGTCACTTGTCAGCCACCGTGTAGATTGCACTGATCATTTACCATCTCGTTAATAACGTAATTTTCTCGCGAATTAAAAAATTCGCCGATGTTTGCGCGAAATGTGTGACACAAGATAACGAGCCAGATGTTACAAAGAACGTTATTTATTCAATACTTTATACTCCTTTCCATAATACTTATCACAATAATTGCGCTGTAACGTCTTAACTACTGTACACATTTTATTAACAATATTATATACATTTTAATTCTTCGGTAATGGCACCTCCTCGCCGAGTCGTTTAACAATAGAAATTTTATCACGGCGTGCTCTGCCGGCCAAAAGTTTTAAACTATGTATATACTGTGCAGTGCGAGCTACGCAAGAATTTTCAGAAAAAAAGTTTTATAAAAGTAGGAAACTTTTAATGAATTTTTTATCACCGAGACGTATCAAAGTGAAGGTAAATTGCTATTGCTCCCCGCAAAATTAATCGCGAATTCGTAAAAAAAAATTGATAACAAATTCGTTATTGCTGTGAACTGATAATACGATCCAGGACTTTTGGTCGGTAGCTTATATATTACAAAAATGTAAAAAATTTTCAAAGTATTATAACAATACTACCGATCGATTAAAGGATATGATCGAAGCAACCGAAATCCTTCAGCTTCAGCAACATATTCGCCAAGATCTCCGAAATCTCATCTCCGCCCATTTCGCGCAGTTGCTGCGCACACTCGTGCGGCTGCATGTCCGTGAGAGCCTGTAGATCCACGGTAGCCTTGCCCATCTGCATGGCGAGGAAAAACGTGGCGATGAAAAATCCAAAGAGACCTTTCCTCTTGTAATCCTCGTACAGAGCCTCGTACGAATATTTCTCACAATCCACACCATTTTCGATTAAACACTTTTCCAACGAGTCGTGGTACACCTTCAGAACGTTACCCAACATGTCCTTATCCAGTTCCTTCGCGCAGTGCAAGCATAAGAACGTAGAGAGATCCAGAACAGGAGATCCAAACCTCATCAGTGCAAAATCGATGAACATAGCCTTCAATTCTCCATTTTCTCTTTTGTACAGTGTGTTGTTCAACGTCCAATCCCCGTGACACAAAGTAGCAAGAGGTTCGTCCGGTTGTATCGCTTTTAACATGACGTTCTCATAGGTGTTCCCCAGGTAGTCCTCGAGTTTGTCACAGAAACCTTGCTCGTAGCCCTGTTTCCGAAGATACTCGACCGATCTGGTCGCCGTGCCGTTTATTATCACTTTCATGTTGCTGTCGGGGAAGTATCTGGACTCGCGGATGTTCTTCACCATGTCGAAGAAGTCGTCTCTACGCTGCTCCTTCATCGCGTACGCGTTCGCGTGGAACAGCGCAATTTCTCGGAACGCGGCCAACGTGTACTCCAACGGGATCTCGTACTTCCACCGTGTCACATCGTAACCTCTCTGCGCAACCACGTTCTCCAGAACGATCACAGAGTCGATCGGCGGTTTTTCTTCGGCGTAGAGGCAACACGGAAACTCGGGATGGCCCTTGCCGTACTTCTCGTAGAAGATTATCTCGTTGTGGAACTGTTCGTCTGTCCTCGCCATTGCTCTGAGACTTTCCGACAACGGTGGTTTCTTCACGACCACTTGGATGGACATCTTCTTCCCGCCTTGGTCGTTGGATCTCGCTGTGATGTTCACGAACAGCATGTTCGAGAGGTAGAAGGAATTAGAAGGTACGGAGACCTCGTAACGAACACTTTTCAAGTCTACGCCGAAGTTCTCGGTTATCTTGTCGATTAAAGGGTCCATCCAGGTGTATCTGTTGTTCTCGGACTCGACCATGATGGCATTTACTAGGATCTAGACGATCGAACGAGCTCCTGTCGGTTACCGTCTCGATCGCGAACTGACTGCCAGCCGAAAGCTAGTTTCTGTCCTGCATACGCAGATAACATTCACTCTGTGACGAAACGAGACACGGAGTGGGAGACCCTAAGCTTCCGCATGGCGATCGTCAACGCGAACGACGTAAAGATTGCTTCATAGAAGTGAGATATTACGAGGAATGAGTAAAGTGGACGTGTTAAGGAAATTATGCGACACAACTGTCGGTTTGATGTTACGATTTGTGTCCCGGAATGAAGTGTCTAATCATTGTTCCAGGAATTGCACCACTAATTGTACGAGTAATTAGAACGTCCGCTGATTCTTGTGTCCTTTGCTGTTCTATGGACATTTTCAAGGCCTAGGGATTAGGAAGCTTGGAACGGTCTGTTGGAGGGAAGAATGATTTAGTTTTGTGCAAAGTAACGAAGAATAGGAAATTTATTCTGTTTACAGTTGTATCTTGTTCTTATCTCTTAGCCCGATGTGTACAAAGCTTAACGTTGTAATGAGTAATTGTGTACAATTCCGACTCGTTTCTTGTCGTCGTTTGAAGGATGACTCTGTGGTAAAACAGAGAATGTCACGAGAGTCGAAGGTACACAGAGCGTAATCAAATGTACTATCTGGTTTTGTTTATATCAATATTTTTTCTGTCGAGGTAAATATTTGTACCCCAGAGTCATTGCTCCTATTTCGTGTTGTCGTTGGAATATTTTACCATCAAACTTGAGTCATAGGCTACCGAAGTTTGTTCGTCTTATCGCCCCACACGTGCGCCTTCCAAAACATTCCGCGGTTTATAATTAGGTTATAAACTACCGCCGGTAGATCTTCCCTGACTGATACATTTTTTGTTGAATGAAATTAGACAAGTAGAGCAACGTATATAAATCAACGGTATCAGCAGTTGTGTTTACATTCACGATTTACAAATTGTAACGAACCTAGGATATTCGCTTGGAAATTAACGAGAGGTAAGTAATTTCTTACGTATTTATAGTCTGTATTATGACGTATGAGTGAATTTTGTGAAAGTTGGGGGATGTAGTTATTTGTCCTTTAAACCGTTGTTGTTCTCGTTCGGTCTAATCCAGGCTGTAAATCGGACAATTAAGAGATCTTCCTGACATTTGATGGTGCCTTTCAAGTCCAAGGGTTTTATGAGTTTACAACTTGAGAGGACCTCTGTACAGGGGAAATTTCCGCGCGCGACACAGTTGGCGACACCGACATAGTAAGATCGTAAATTAAAGCATTAAGCAGCGACGGAGATTGATACAGTCGCACTCAAGGTCCCACGTCCTTTGCGAATTGATATTTGAAATTTTTGCTTGCGATCTTTCGTTCGGACCTTCGTCGTTTAATTGTGGTATTGTTAAAAATGAACCTGTAACTATATAGTAAGGGTTAGAGCGCTGGAAAATTTTTAAACGTACTTCACTGGAAGATGCAATTCCGAGTTCACTCATTTTCTTGCTCTTTGATTAACCAATTTTACGACCTCACTATATCTATTCGAGGGTTGAGTCTCTCACCTGACAGGATGGTCATATCGTGAAAGTATGCACCTCATTCGCCAATAAAATTTTCGGATTTCTTCCCTTTCGAAATCCAAGAATTTTGCAAAATAGCGAATCTGCTAATTTCGACCTTAACGACATGATCATCCCATGGACATCAGAATTCTGCTTCGATCAGGTAGGAAAAGAAGGTATCAAACCTTTGAAGGAATAAACGCTTCCCCAGTAAAATAATAGATTTAGAATAGAATTTAGAATTTAGATAGAATTCACTAACGTAACAAACCAGAATTAACACTTTCGCTACCAAACGTCAGACATATGTGACGCACCAAATCTCATAACAGAACAGTATTATCTATTGCAATAGATCATACAAAAAGCACACTTTGAATTCTTAATAAACATTGTAGTATTGAGGTCTCCATACGCAAAATAGGAAACCTCGAAAGCAGAATAGAGAGGGAGTGTTTGGCGTAGCGCGCAAAGCCTCGGCTTGCTAATCCGAAGGTCCCGGGTTCGATTCCCCGTTGGGTCACTCAAAATTTTTTCGTCGGTTCCTACGATATTAGGTGTGCATAAGTGTTGCGGTCATTCGTCTTATCACGTAAAACTGATAAAAATGCAGATATTAAGAATGCAAATAATTCAATGAAAACAACCCTGATAGCAAGTCATATATAACCACCATATGACGTTCAACAATTTCACAATCACGCGAACGTCGCAGAATCTTCAGAGACACAACACACGTCGCAGTAGTCTATAAATGACTACAGAAAATGTCGAAACCGGTTCTGGTGCGTCTGTATTGTTATCTTCGTCTGCCTCCATTCTGCGGTTAATCTTTCCGCTAGGATTCACCGAGGCTCGATGATCTCGACAAAAAGAGAGAGACCAGCCCGATGAGAATATTCTCGGAACAATCGCGTGAGAAACCAGCAGCGAGGAGGGAGAGAAGAAGAAACGGGCGTAGAGGAGAAGAACGATAGGAGGAGAGCAACGAACGGCTCGAGGAAGCGGCGGAAGCCATGATCCAGAAAGGCAAGCAGCGCGAAATCGTCTTCTTGGCTCGCGAGACGAAATTAACTGAATTGGCTGCGCACGAGTGGACCCTCGTGACGTACGAGGCAGAATGAAAGCGAGGATGCCACGGGAATCCGCCTCGAGTGGAGACGTTTAGAAGAGCGTTCGCGAAAGGGACGCAGAAATATTCCGCTTCCGACAATATATGCAAATAACACGGTCATCCGTTCTGTCCCGTCGAAGCACGTTCGCTCGGGGCTCGTCACGCGGAAACTCTTGCACTGTGGATGATTGTCGCTTCCACGTGGACCATACTTCGTGCTTGCCTAGTTGCTTTTCTTAGTTTTCAGGTGTACGAGATGCTTGAATGTTTATTTCACGCGTAACCATCTGTTTAACCCTTTCTAGCGCTGTTCAACCATGTGTGAGTTTCGAAAAATTGTTCGTTACGAGGTGTGAACGCATTTATGTAGCCATGTGCAAGCATTGAATTCGCACTATGAGTACATGAAGTGCGTCTTTCTTGCGTATTTCTTAACAAATACAAGGTTTTCCTTTGATCTCAATTACAAATATTCCTTGTTATTTATGGACAGTGCTTTGCTTGATCATATCTACCGAAGTCCTCTTTTATGTGATCCAAAAAATGTTCTAATCTTCTAATCTTGTTAAAAATGTCAAGATACGTAAATGAAGAGAAAAGAAATAATTCAATTCAACGTTTCCTTTATCTTAATAAATAATCAGCGTGTAATATCAGGTAATCTTGAAAATTCCCGCGCTTTAAGCATTTCATTTTGAAAAATCGTAACTCATAATTCCGCGCAGATAAAAATCTCAATCTCTAACAGAAAGAAAGAGTCAAATGAATTTATGTTTCTTTCGAAATAAACGGCTTGAAACCGCGAGAATCTCAGCACCGAAATCAGCCAATACGCGGAAGAGAAGAGTAAACAGGTAGCTTTCCTCCAGGACGATGAAAATATTTCTCAGGATTTCTTCGACCTGAGACGTGCTTTTGCATAATCGCAGTCGATTTTGCTTTTTTAAGTGGTTTGCGGGACAAGCACGGGGCCACTCGACCTCGCGTCGTAACTCGACGCCGCCGTACTACCCTGCTTGTACTCCGACACGATGGAAATGCAAATTCGATCGGTATCGGGTTTGAAACTCTCCCCTCCACCTGGCCCTCGAATGAAATTTATAAAATTTTGGAGAAACCAAGCGACCGCCTACTCGCGATCCGGCAGGCTTATGAATTTTACATGAAACATCGCGGAGCCATGCTTTGCGGGCTAATTTGATATTCAGAGAAATTATCCTTCCGCGGTTTGTTCGATCGACCGTGTTTTTCCTTGGCCCAATCTTCGATTTCCAGAAATTCCTCTACCAATCATACTTCGCGTTTAACGTGATAGGAACGAGTTATCATCGTTACTCGCGCGTGTTTCCATCTCTAGAAATTGATCGATAGATACGCCTCACGCGAGAATATTTTTTTTTATTCGAATAGCTCTTGAACGTTGTTAAAATCGATCCAAGTCTGCGTTTACTTTTACTATTCCGGCAAAATTGTTTCTGCTGAGGATCTTTATAATCCGTAGATAGGTTCGTCGAAGGGAGTATAATTTCTGCTTGTCACGCTGTATTTTCGGTCGAAAATTCCGCGGGACGCACAGGCGTTAAGAAGGAACCAGTACTGTTCGATACAAACCGAGGCAGATTAAATTTCCATTGCAGATTTCATTCGATACGGCTCTTCAGCGACGTGACGATTCGTCTCATCCCCCCGGGCTGCGTTTCATTTATGCAACGGCCGACGAGCCGCGTCGTCAAACCCTCAGACGCGGAAAGTAATACGCGTCAAACTGCTTATCGATCCCTTCCTACAGTCTAACCTTATAATAATTGATCCATCAGGACCGTATAATGAGTTCAATACTCGACGCGTAATTCTCGACGGGTTATGTCGTTAAAATTCTGAGTTGATTTTTACGGCGAGAAGAACGTACAATTTTTCTTCGAATATGGTTAACCTTTTCACTGCTATTGGCGTTTCGAGTATTTGCTCCCACTGTGCCTTTGAGGTGAATTTAATCCTTAATTTTAGTCCGTTGCGTGCTTTCACCGTAATTTTCAAAACAGTAAATTTAACAATTTTTTTTAATTTTTAAACAAATTTTTAAACGCTGAAACAAGAGATTTTGCAGCCATAATTGAAGATTTACCGTCTGCCACGCGCGTTACGCGTGAAAATCTGCCGCAGTGAAAGGGTTAATGGTTAAGCTTCACCGATTGTAGAAGTGTTAAAGCTTTATGCATTTAATGTTTCGATAATTAATTCAGGCGACTCGCTAAACGAGATACAAACCGTGTGGAATACGAGACACAACGATAATGTTATACAAGAAACGTTGCAAAGGCGTCATCGTGAAATTACGCGTTCAGAATAATATTACACGTTTCATATTGCACGTCGAGAACGAAACAAAAATTCCT